AAGCAGATTCAAAAATCAGACTGTTGTTTATTTAATATGGATCAGCCTAATCGAAGTATACAAAGAAAGAAATGAAACACTGCGCCCCTCCCATAAAATACGATCTAGCCCCGCCCCTCCACATAAGGAATTGACAACAACTGGCCTGTCGGTTATGAACCCCTTTCCCCTAACAATAAATGCTTCTGGATCCATCAGCGATTGAGCTGTGTTATCTTATTTTTTAATTGCATGAAGTAAATTTGTGATTGGGTTGATATACAATGTATTTTCTAAGGAATTTCTTTGGATATCCTCATTATGAAGCCTGCATGCCTGATTACAAAACCCAGGTGGTGACCCAGCTGTAGAATTCAGAGGCGGGAGATTGGTCCATCACTGACGGAGGAATGGAGGCATAACACAACAATCATATAACCTCAAAGATTTCTCCTTGATTGACTCAAGTCATTGCAGGCAATGATTTATTACACCATAATATATAATAATTATGAGTTTACAAAATACATAATAATCTTACAAAGTACACAATGTCAAATAATAATCCCTGACGTCTTAAACTTTTCCCCAAATTTCTGGGGAAAAAAAGAAGAAAAGAGATCAGAAATGTTTCTGCAACAATAACAAATAATACAAATAACATACAAATTTCCAAAAAAATCTCTACTCACAGTTAACCATATCAAAGACAAATCAACTTACTTCCGCCAAATAGTGGAAATGTCATTTAGTTTATATTTTCAGTTGTTTATCATTATTTTAAAGTGAAACAAAGAAATTGACTATAGCCGGAACAGGAATCCGGAGGTCACAGGGTCAAACCAGCTCCAGTCAATTTCTTTGTTCAACTTTAAAGTTATTAAAATGCACCGAGTCAGTTCTCCTTTGTGCTTCATTTTTATGACAATACATTTTCGTAAAAAGATCCAGGTCAACTTTCAATGTCTTTTTGATAATAACGAAATAACGTTTGGGAAAAACAGAAGCACAGTAACTGAGGACATTTCAATAACCAGTGTTTTTGTGTAACGGGAGCACAGTCACTGGTTGCAGAAGCGTCAGGAACTATGACAATGTTCTATACATGTATAAAGGATGAAGGTTTTATTTTGCTCAATTTCAGCAAACGTGACACAGAAACAAAACTATCCAAAAGTCAGCAGATTATCTTGACTTGGAGTTTATGTCCGAGTGATGATCTTATCTTACAGACTTGCACATTAATAATCACAAGATAAATCACAATTATGTAATTTGCAAACCATGGCTTAAAGGCATATATGAACATTTGTATTTTATTTTGTTTGTTTTCATTACTTGTAATATTATCACTGTTCCACAGAAGAATACTCAAAACCTAACATGTTGAAGCTTTGGATATTACTTTTCAGGAAAAGAGTGAAATATCCATGCACACACTTTTAATCAATAAACGCGATTTTGTCCATAGACCTCTTATTTCAAAAAATCAGTCAATTGACTTATCATTGGAAATCACCTACATTTCTTATTTCTTGTTAATGATAGCAAGCCAGACGGAATAATTTCACAGGGTGTTTAGTACCAGTACGATCTATAATCCAAGTGAGCGTTTTGATTACAATTCGGTTGGTTACTTTTGGGATAAATGCAAATGATCCCATCCCATCTCCATTTAAATGTGTAAATTAATGAGTAAAAAATCCCCATCATTTAAAATTGCAATCAGTTTGGCTTTGCAGTTACAGTGTGTATATCTCATTTTCATCGAAATCTTCTTTCATGAGTCATGCCAGCAACAACAGTTTAAAAACATTATTAACATTAAGTTTACATTTTGCATGTGAATAAATCAAAACACTGATTCAAAGTATACTTTTTCTCTCCTGCAGAACTACCATTGAATGGTTGCATTTGGGCATGTTATAAACGATCATATTACCTGGGCAACTGCAAAATATCAAAACTGTTAGAAACAAAAGCATCAGTTTTGGTACGAGAACATTTATCAAACTTGGAACAAACAAATCTAGTGTCAATCAATACATTGAAGAGGCTTGCAATGATAAAAACAAGCAAATTGTCCACTTGTACCTATTTCAACATAATCAGAAACACAGAAACATTTTTGAGTATACAACAATCGCAACGATTGGTCCTGAATGACCAAACATGACTGTCCTCTGACAAAAATGTGTCATTTGGCAATGCAACATTCTATGTATATATATACTATACATCATTGTTTGACAGTATGAACACTGGTTTATAGTAACTCTTAATATGGACATGCCGGTAGGCCTGTAGTTGAATAGTAAACGAAATCCATGTTATACAGTCCTCACACAACTGGACCACTTTAAAAAATATATATATATTGCATAAACAGTCAAGGTTAAAGATCTATACAAAAGTAAGCAACCTGGAATCATAATTTTTCCCATTTTATGCATATTTTGCTTTAATTTACAGAAAGGATTTGATTAAGAATGAAGAGCAATCGCACAAACGAAAACATCTATTTGGAGGCACGTGAACTTGTCAGGATTTTTCTAATTTGTACAAAGCTGAGGCAAATACTATTCTGGCAAAACTGCGAATCTTATTCAGGGTTTAAATTCCCATGTAGTGATTCACAATTCAAAAGTGTCCGAGGTATTATTCTGTATACTAAGTTTTGCACATCACTGGTCTATGGAAGGGTGTCGTGCAGCCATTTGCGTGTGGTCACATTAGTTTGTTTCAATTGTTTGAATGCCATATTTCTTATCAGATAACAGGGTGGGATCTCATGTAAGATGATGCGATTCAAGATATTTTCTCAAAAGAAATAAAAAGGAGAGGTGGCTTCCCCTGTTTAATTGACGATTAGATCCTAGTGTTATAATCTTGTATATTTGTGCACTGAAAGAACTAATGGTAAGCAATTGTACTCTGAGGTCACCCAAGATATTGATGATGTGTGGATGAGACGACATGGAAGGGGAGTGAGAATGAATTAGAAACAACTGCTTTGAATCAATCAATGGAAATATGAAGCGATAGTTTTAATGAACTCAACACTGGAATCAAAATGTAACTGATATACAAGGTCAATTTAACACTTTCAACTGACACCCAGAATGTACGACTATGCTTTAATAGTACAGTGCTATTATGTTTGAAGACTTCAAGGAATCATTTTGTACTGGACTATTTGATTGACTTTTCACATTGATTGATTGATTGATTAATTGATTCATTGATTTTTTTTGGGGGGGGGGGGTTGGGGGGGCGTAGAATGAAGAGCTATAGTGGTGCGGCATAGGGACAGAATTGTGCATTTTGTGATAAAAGCCTTCAACTTTGCATGTTGGTTCTTCATGCCATGACACATTTTTTCAGATATGGAGGCATTTCATATGTGACCCCTGGTGACCTTGGAGGGGTCAATGACCTTTGAATACTCTATACATGTATATACATATTGTTCTTGACTATATCACTTTCCTATGACCATAGTCTTTGTATAGTCTTCATACAATGTAAATAGCGACCAAATGCGAAAAAATTCACAATTGACCTTTGATGACTTTCCAGAGGTCAATGACCTTTGTATTAACTGCACTAACTCTATTTATAGTTATTTACAAGATATACCCTTTAAACACCAATTTCTTTTCAAGCCCCAAATCATAATGTTAAGTGGCTCATGCTATGAAAAGAATTTCACAGGTAAGGAATCTCATATCTGACCTTTGATGGCCTTCAAGGGGTCAATGAACTTTGCGCATCCTATTTATAGATATTAAGAGGATTAACTATTCAAAACACTACTTTTACATTACCCATATCTAAATTTTGGGTATTCTTGCCATAATATGAATTTTCAGATATGTAGACATTTCATATTTGACCTCTGATGACCTTTACGAGGTTGTGTTTAATCTTCCAAATCCCATTGTTCATGACTGCAGCCTAATTAGAGCAAAAGGAGTGTATTTTAATAATTATTGTACAACATGTTATGAAGTCAGACCCCAAAGATTTTTTTTGCATGACCTCAGATCTCAATTTTCCTATTTATAAGGGCAGACGCATACGTAAAAGAATATAAGTGACACATCGGACAAGCATCACTCTCTTACAGTGACCATTGGTCTTGGTAAAAAAAGTTAAAAACGTGGCTATCCAAGTCCAAGTGGATACAGCAGGGTGTAAAAAGTACCGAAGAGTAAATATTGCTTGACATATGTACATTTTCCATTAAAACAGACCCACAGATATCTACTCCAATCTCCATCATATTGCGTCTGCCAATAAAACAAGGAGAAACGAGGTCAGAGGTCACCTCAAAATTGTTTGTGGGATCTGAATTTATAACATGAGTTTATACTTATAGGTGCAATACCGTTCTTTGCACTAGTGGTACTTGGGTCACCAAAAGTGAAAACCGGCATTTTGGCGAATAAATATGATAAATAACGGCAACTAAGATATACAAAGTTCATTGACCTCTCCAAGGGTACCTATACGTCAAATATGATGTCCCCACATCTGAAAATTCTTTTCATGGTACCGAAATTCGAGCTTTAGACTTAGGTCATGAAAAAGTGGCATTAACAATTATGAAAATCTTATTAATATCCATATGTAGGCTATTGTTTTACAAAGGTCATGACCTCTTGTAAGGTGACCAGAGGTTGAATATGAAATGACCTTTATATGAAAAATTCCCTTTACACCATGAATACCTTTTATTTAGACATAAATCGTGAAAAAAAGATGCGGTTTAAAGAATAAATTTTGCAAATAGCTCTAAACAGGTTTACTATTAAAGGTCATTGATCTCTCAAAGGTCACCAGAGGTCAGATATGAATTTTTGTCACTTCTGATAGTTATTTTCATTGTATGAAGACCTATGACATAGACTTGGGTCATTGGAAAGTGAACTTTGGAAAGTGAAAAGAACAAAAGTTATAAATAGTGCATGCAAAGTTCATTGACCTCTAAAGGTCACCAGAGGTCAAATATGAAATGCCATGGCATGAAGAACCAACATGCGAAGTTTCATGCATTTATCACAATTTGCACAATACTTAAGCATATTGTGGCTATGGCGCACCACTACTATGCTGAATTTATTTGTTTATTAATAAGAAGATCCCAAATAAATCTATTTGTATTGAAACCTTTTTGTTGACATTTTCATTTGTTATCAAGCCCCTTATTGTCCTCTGAAAGTAAAGTTGTTGTTGTTATTGACTGCCGTTGTTTATTGTATTCTTTTACTTATTCTTTTGTTTGTCACAGAATATTGACTTGATGGAAAATGACCAATGATACGAGCTACACATGTACTCATTTCAATGTAATGTGCCTCATGAGCATGGCGCATTCATAGGGAAGGCAGTGAGAGTTATGACTTGGTGAATTATTATTTAGGCTTTGAATTCCCCCTCTTCTGTTTCCTCCAGGTGAGGGAGGTTTTCACTTACAACATGTCTGACGAGCTCAGCATCGAGGCCGATGTTACGAAGTTTGAGGTGACGTAACTTAGGGAGACCTTGGAGATGACGGGTGAGAGCCGTCACTGCATCCAAACTGAATGCATTGTCATCAAGGTTAAGATATTCTAAAGCATGCCCAGTAGGAAGGATGCTCCCCAGGTCCTTCATGTCATCATCGACCAACCTGCATTCGCTGAGGAGTAAAGCTCTAAGGGATGACGAGATGTGGCTGACATCTCTAACCCGTCCATGCAGGTTGGTGTCACACAGTGAGAGATAACTCAACCTGCATCCTTCCAGTGCCTTTACTTGATTGACAACCTCATCCGGTGATCGTTGAATCATACCCAATCCGAGGATGCCTATTTGATCCTGCATGCAGAAAAAGCTGTGGGATACACGCCCAATGTCAAACCATGACTTTGCCTCAATGCAAACCACAATGCCTAATTGAGCACGGTCCTGTTCATCCACAACACCAAGCGTTTCCTCAAGGAGACTAAGCTCCTCCTCCTCCTGCTCAGACAAGAAGTAGTGAACCAATATCAGCTCATTTGACTCCATGCTGTCACTCAGATAAATTTCCCTCAGAAGGTTAAGCTCCTGCTTTCTTACATCCATGTAAAAAATTGTACCTTCAAGTGGCGGAGTGACATGCTGTAAGTAGTAGCTCAGTGATTTTAGGTCTTCGTTCCTATGGCAGTCTACGCGAGTTGGTCTGACTAGTTTGGTAGAAAACTCTTCTGAACCAGACTCAAATAGCAACAAAAGAGCCAATCTCTGCAGTTCCATCTCATCACCTTGCATCTCTTGAATGTGATCCAGAATGAGACCAGCAGCCTGCATTGATCTACCACAACAAAATCTCAGCAGGTATTCCATCGCAAGAATATTGCATTCTCCAATCTGCTCCAACTGACAATGAAAATTGTTTTCATCATCGTCTGGTAATTTCACCAGGTGACATGCTGCAAAGTACTCTTGGATGGACTTGTGGGGGAAAGTGACCAACACTCTTTCACCCGGTCCACACTGGAACTTTTCACTTTGAACAAAACCCACTGCAAGACCCTTATCTAAGCAAGACTGAAATTCACTTTCTTTGAACATGAGCCTTTCCCCTCTAGAGTCTAGTAACCCTTGCAATGCAACAGGCCCCAAGCCATCAATGATGGACATCATGTTAGACATTACCTGTTCATCACTCATATCTTTATTGCGGCGCTTGAAAAGAGCCACCGCAAATTCTGTGTACAGCTCGGTAATTCTCTCAGGCAGTGACTTTTGATTCTTCCAAACAAGGCACAGCATCTGGGAAATGATTGGAACTACAGCCATTTGCTGAAGATTTGCATTGTCTTTCAGATATGAAATCAATGCCTCTCCCATGTCAGCATCATCAGGAAGGTTTAATCTGATGTACTGATCTCTATCTTGTGGTGTGAAGCCCAGTGTCTCCACCTGAGCGAAATTCGCTGTACCCCCAAGTACATAACTCATCTTGTGTGGTCGGGTTGTGACCAGCACAAAACTTTGTGTAAGGACTCTGTTGTGTAAGATATCCTGAACCCTGTATACGCCCTCCTCAGATTGCAAAACATGAGATGGGATTTCATCCACTCCGTCCAACAGAAAAGCAATGCGTGATTCGTGATCATCAATGAACCCTTTCACTTTGTGTTTCGTCAGTTTGGTGTTACGTGCTAGAATTTGGTCAAATATGGCATCCAAGACACAACTAGATTGCTGCATGTGCCTCAGCTTTATCCAAAGCACAAGCTCAAATCTACCATGAAGGGGTTTTGAACCGAGTGTGATGCAGGAGTTTGTAACTTTCACTAACAGGGTTGATTTACCCGTCCCGGCCCCGCCAAAAAGAAGAATCTTGATTTCCTTAACTATTTCCTGATCGAACAAATCATCCAAGGATTGGAGAATTACATTTTGTTCTTCATCCAAGAATATTTTTCCTTCTGGTAATGTCACCGATCTCTCTGATGTTGTTTTGCCTGGAATGTTCTTTTTGAGATGCAGGGGAATGAAGAACTGATCAATACCCACATTACGTGACTGCAGTGTAGGGTGTGCAGGAATAGTCGTTGCAGTTTCCTTGTAACTGTCAATAATTTCCTGTTGCAAATCCTCAAAGGTACCCGACCCCTGGAGTCCGGTGATTTCTAAAAGAAATCATAAAATTAGTATGAGTAAACTATTCATTAAGTATACATGAACATGATTCATAACAATTCTTTCAAGCTGAAATTCAACAAATCCGAACAATGTGCATGTCAATTTTTCGACCTATTATTTTTTTTTAGGCAAGTAGCATTTTTGTTTACCTTCATCCATAATGTATTCAATCATGTCAATTGGTTAAATTTTCCAATTACGTGCAGTAAAATGTACACTTAGAAATGTTGCCGAGGATTGTATCCAGAGTTTCTTCAAATTGTGCGTCCCTGTGATCACAATATTGATAAACGCAGTTGCACAGGGTTGACGATACATGCAAATGGCCAGTCTCTTTTTATACAATCTTCATCAATAGAACACAACTGTCATGAATTTCACACGGAAATTTTGATCACAACATAAACTGGATGATGAAAGGATTAACTGTTGCTGGCGGTAAATCAAACAACAGAAAGCAGCTTTTTGTTGTTTGATTTAAGCAAAACCTTTGATAATACTGTACTGTGTGGTGTTTCAAGCTCACTTTCAAGTCTCGTATATTATCACAAGAAGTTTCATCTTCAGGCTGTGGACCCACTTTAGTCCTCAGCGCCTGTAAATTCCTGAGAACATTTAAGGTTGCATTTGGATCTGTTCCTTTACCTTTCTACCCCCCCCCCAAAAAAAAAACCCCAGAGCTGAAGAACAACAAGTTGAAGAACACCACCAAGCATGAGCAGACAATTTGTTTATCAAAAATTCAAAGTGAGTTGCTTATGAAATGAGTTTTTGCGCATTTGCCATTGAATAAAGCCATTATTTTCTTCCACTATCTCCTTTTCAAATTTCGGTTTATAATAGAGGCAATCGTGAACATTATAAACAGTAAGTTATTCATGTTGATAAAAGTGTTTCATGTGTTCTCAGGCATACAGATACCTGCTGTCACACACAACACTTTAAGGCCTCCGTGCACGTACATTGTACCGATATGCTGATGTTTACAACATTAATATCTAAAGCAGTGCTTCAGAACTCATAGGTAAACTAGAACGAGTATATTAAATACACCTGCAAATGGTCAAGAAAGTTTCTGTGAAAAAGTGTTATTTTCAGATTATAAAAGTCAATCATGGTGAATGCATTGTGCCTGTTATTGTTGAAACCGTACATGTAGCTAGCACAATGGTTACAGATGACCTGCCCCAGTGTACAGTGACTGTGATAACATGTTAATTTAAATAGTCTCCAGTCTTTCTTTGCTGCCTATTTAATCATCTTAAAATAAACAAATTGATAGGCTTCATAAATTGATGAATCATTTAACAACTTCACATGCTTGATGGAAAAGCAAGTTGTATTGTCCATTTTGGCCAATCTCTTGTTTTCGTTGAGATCTTTTTTTCAAACTCCCCAAATACACTTGAGCACTTTCACAAGTCTGTTCCACTTCAAACTTAGCAGAAACGTAGACCACCACCAAAAAGGATTAGCGACGACACTTTGCAGAAACCGTTACCAGAACTGTGTTCCTCCAATTTGAATGTTTCCCATTATCAAAGTAATCATCACTGTGAAACACTCAGAAAAGCTTACCTGTGTCAGTTATCGACTGGATCATTTCTATGTTTTCCTCGTGTTGTGAGTGTTGACCACTTTCTGGATGCAGATTAATGAACCAGAACAAAATAATTGGGTTAACCGTCTACCAACACATGAATCATCATTTCATTATACAGCATGTTAATTTGAGATTCCATTATAAACGTTTAATCCAATAATAAATTATCTGCTTGGATTAAGTGAAACTCGGGCTTTAAATGTCTATGAATATAATTTCATGATCATAATTGTTGTGTTTACTTAATATGTTTCGGTCCCAGACAATGATTGTTACTGTTCCATTTTTAATATATTTTCCATAAATTTCCATCATTATGTCTCATCATTTCGAAAAACAAATACCACCTTACCTTCATGTTGACTATGGCGTTTCTCAATGTATTTAACTGCAAAAACAAAACAAAGAAAATAAATTGTAGTTACTTTGAAGAATCTCATACAAAAAGGAAACAATTTTCGTTCAGGGCACAACCACTGTTGTAGTTGTGCGATGTTACTATGCCCACGGGTTATTGGACTGTGCAGCAATTTACGAAAGTGGGTGCCACATAATCCGCGCAAATGACGTCCTTGCATCTTTGCGAGCGGTTCGCTGCCCAAGTCAGGTTTGTGCTGCTGTGTGGTACCAAATCTGTACCGTTTCAGTATCGTGAATTAAGAACGTCTTGCTCCAAGACCAACACTGTCTGTGAACTTCTAACCTCTCTAAAAATCAAAGTGACCGTTTTACCAGGTATAACTGTTTTAAATGCTATAATTAATTATTAATTAAGGAACATCAAAAGCTCGGTTTTATTATAAAATCATTAACATAAACATAAAAGAACAGTAAACAAGAGAACAAAATCTCTTGAAATCAAGAGCTCATTTCACGTGTCCATATTAGGGACCATTAGAAATTGTAATAATAATAATAATAAAAACCATTCTCATATAGCGCATATCACTGTGAGGTGCAGGTCCCTATGTACTCTCATGAAATCAACAATTATGCAAATTGAACAGATATGTTTGACCCAGGTTTTGAATTGTTCTGATGTTTTGGGCCTGCTTGACAACATCTGGTAAGATGTTCCATAACTGAACTGCAGATGATTGGAAGGAGCGGGAACCATAGGTCTTAGTTTTAATGACTTAGTTTTTTATGGTGCGTCTACGAGAGACGTAGACATGTACATGTACATCTACATAAAAATCATGAGCTCACTTGCTGTAATTTCACGTGTCGATATTATTGTTTGAAATATCTTGTGTCAATATTGACACAACATGTTCAAGGGAAAAGGATTTTGTAAGATTTCAATTGCTTCTCTAAAAGAGTCTAACCCTCTTCAATTAGAGACGTGCCATGAATTAATCTTGGAGGTTAGTATGTGTATAAAGCAAGTGAGCAATAGGGAAAGGTAATAACGTCCAATCCAGTGATTATACCAGTCGGAACATCACTTACATATTCCAAAACAAAGTGTCAACAGAGCCACCAGAAAGCCACCAATTCCTCCAACTATTCCTCCAACGATTCCAGCGATCTTGTAAGTAACATCCAAGTCATGTCCACCACTTCCAGTTGCAGACGGCGTATTTGTAGTCATGTTCATGCTGCCAAACTCTGCCATTTCTGTTTTTGTCTAAACAGCCATTCAAAAATAAAGTTACAAGCACAAATTGAAAGTGAGCAAGAGGTGTTGGTTATCTACGGTAGACGCTAAATTCTTAGGAATGACTTTTTTTCTAATCCAAGGGCCACCCTGAAATTCAAATGCTGATTCTTTATGCAAATGGAAATTGTTCTCTGAACAATTGTCATTACTCAATAGTGCATATATTGCATATTTTGTATTCATTGATTCAGAGAGGTCCTTGATCTTATGATGAGGTGACTCCACCAAAGTACATGTATGAACAAGAGTGCATTGTTGTGAAAAGCAGTCGTGGACAGCAAGACAGGAACAGCGACTGCTTTCCACAACAATGCACCAGACGAAAATTGAGCCCATTCGTGGCACCTGAAATTGGTGTGGTACCCACATACATCATGCACAGATTTTTCACTTGTGTGGCCTCCGTACTGCTGCGCTGTACGTTAGGCCACACGTCTGGTTTTCCAACTTACTGAGTTGGCATTTTTTTTTAACATATACATATATACCCCTGTCTGTGGTTGTATTCTATGATTTCTCATCTTTTGCCCTCTGGGTAGATTAAGTAGGTCCCTAATCTTTCTTCAAATTTTTTTGAGAAATTTAGTCATCTTACCTAACAATAAAGATGGCGATCACCACGCGACGTACCGTGAGCACGCACGGCTGAATTGCAAGGCACAAACCGCGCAGGAAAATCATGATTTCTACCCCAAGAATTGCAAAACGGGTGTCATTTGAATTGAGAGAAGTCTGCTTTTGATTGTAAAGGTGATTTTTGAGCAATAAAAAACATTTTTTACTCTAATTTAATCAAAACAAAACAGGGGCCCTACACTACACGATCGCCAAGTTCCCTTCAACTAGCCATACTACTACTAGGCATGGCATTTTTACCGGAAGTTAATATAATAATACTAGGCCTAGGCCTATATCCAAAAGGAAATTCACTAAACTTTTGTAAAAATAAAACGAAGTGGCTATCGTTACGGCATTCATTGTTTAGCGCCCTCAACGATACTTTTTTGATACACACGCAGGTATATTATTATTTGTTTTCCCAGTGCGACAGCTCAGTCGATAGTGGGTAGGATTTTGCACAGCGAGGTTGCGGGTTCACATCTCAGTTTTGCACTCGAATTTTTTCCTTTTCTTACCTGAGGCTTTAGAGGATTTTTTTTAAAAGGGAAATGGGGCCTAAATAAAGTCCGAATTTCATAACGTTCAAATTCACTTTTTTCCTTCTAATTTATATTTTCTTCGCATGTTTTTATAAAAGTTGCAGTACTACTAGTACTACAGTAACGATAGAAAATGGGAAATGCGTTTACGGCTGCCGTAACAATAGCCACTGCGAAAATAAAAAGGTGACAATTTGGGGCCACAAGTTACTCAAGCTCTACTGAACTAGCCTACTGGAGATCTTACTATTCGTAGAACACCTTCTGCCTCTGGAAGTTTTCACACAGTGTTACTGCACATTGGCGGGCCATATTGTAATAACTTCCAAAAAAATCGCGTTTTCATAACTCACGGCGTGACGAATTGATGCTGTTTTTACCCCAGACACCGCATACAAAAATAAACGCTATAAATGTACAATGATGTAACGCATACATACATATGATATGCAGCACAAGATTGCAAGACCTATTCCGCATTTGCGTACGTATGGTGTACTATAAAGGACACCTATCTGTTAGGCCAAAAAAAAAATAAGTCGGTCTCTGGTCAGCGCGCGCGTCTATTTTAATCATGCGCGTCGATCTTTTTTTTTTCCAAAATGTTCCGCGGTAGCTCCAACAGCGCCCTCTATTTCCGCACCTCCTCATTTATTTTTTACCAAAGAGCACCAAGGAATGGGAAATTGCACCAAGGCAAATGGTGCTTTCGATCATTAGGCATCTTTCCTGCAAGTTTCAAGCAATTTTTTTTTTGGCCAAAATTGAAAAAAATGCAAGGGGTTAGCCTTACTTTTTTAGTGAAATTTGGTCAAAAATTGACTTTTCTCGAAACAATACAGAAATTCCTCTGAAGTGTCCATCCATCCAGAAATAGAGTCGGAATGTGTTGTAAGGTCCACTAGGCATCGATCAGTTTCGCATTTTTTTTCATGAATTTCTATCGATTTTTTTTTGGACACAGTTGGGGGTTATTGACCTCCCCCCCCCCCCCCCCGGAACCGCGCCTGCAGGCTCCGCACGGGAGTCAATGAAGCGGAGCCGACAGAGCTGCTCCTCACGGGAGACTATGGAGCGGAGCCGACAGAGCACAAAGACACGTTGTAATTTTTTTTCTGTCTTTTTATTTCAGTTCCAAAATACGAACAGTCATTCAACATTACAAATATAGACCTGTTTCACTGATAAATAATCACTTTGGGTTAACAACGGGGATTCTTTTTAATTGAAATCCCGACAATCGTACATTTTAGTAGCTTTTTTTGCACATCATTGTACAATTTACATACATAATTTGTTTTCATATATTGATTTTACTGTACAGCATACCATTTTAATACAAAACTAGGCAATGTACAATATGCACTGCACCGTACACAGACTCCCTCAGAATGCCGCACCACGGCACGTGCTGCAGAGAAACGAGGACCGTTCCACTATTTCCAGGGGTTGTGTGGTACAGAATATAAATAATCATTTCAATTAAAATTATTAACCTGAAAATAGTGAAACAGTGTCACAAAAAAATAAGGTAAACACAATAAAGTTCATCTGCTTCCTCACTGGTACTATTTAGGGAAAAGGGACACAGTGACATGTACCATAGTAATCAATAAAAGCAGTTTGCTTTTATTCAATATACAATTATGAACACGACTAATAAATCAGCAATGTCTTCACATAAATTGTATTATTTTATACACAAATAAACATGATTCCATCTAATAAACGGGCCGTAATTTTTTTTCTTCGGGAGACCTAATTTCATTGGACAGGAAGTACAAGCAAAGGAATTGATTAACAATTTGAATACATTAATGTCTGTGATTTAAGTACTTGTACAGGCTTGTATAATGTACAACCTAAAAAGCTAAATTCTTGCCTCATTTCATCGATAAAATTGGCATGACTTTCCCTTATTCTATTTCCTTGACCAAATAAGTTAAAATTGCCAAGAAATATTCGCACAGGAAACAAACAGGGTCACAATAAACAAACGAGAAGCTTTTGAACCAAGACAACATAGTTCATATACAGCGAATTCAATATTTTAAAAGAACGTGTCACATTTCGAAATTGTCCATCCTTATTTAGGAGAGCTTGCGAGAGCATGGTTCTGCACATTGCAGACACAACAATCATTCATGATGACAGGACTGACTATATTTAACCAATCCTGCAGATTAAAATGAGAAATGACAGCAAAGTTCCCACAAACAGTGGCCATTTCACTGCCAAAGTAGTTGGTCACTCACATGGTTATATGGCTCATTGCCACACTTTTTGGTCTGGTGTGAATGGTGACAATGTGTTCAAATTTTTTGTTATTTCTGCTGCATTTTATGCTATAAAACGGCGACCAAGTTGTGTAAACATGAAGTAAATACATACACTGATGTACCAACACATTGCAACAGAATGACGAACACCGGCTACAGGTCAGAAACTTCCATTCTACATTTTCTGCACAAAACATCGGCAGAACATTCATCTACCTGAACCAGGATTGTGTGTACATTCGCTCTGCAGACCGTGCACAATGTCTGCCACCTCTTGGACAATCGACAAGATGATTTGTGGAGACCAATTAAAACGAACCTTCTTTGTACATCACTGGGTCGATTGACCATTTAGCCAATCATGTTCAATGTTCTTTTGCTGTTGTCCTCTGATTGGATGGACATATATATCTCTGCGGAACAGCACAGTTGGCTTGCTAATAATTAAGAAGCTTTTTAAACAGTAGATTAGATCCAACTTATAGGAAAATGGGGATATTTGTTACATTTCTCGACAATTACACATAGTGAGGTACATGTACAGTTAGAATAAATTATCATACATTCAATTCATATTCATGACTGCGAAATTCTCAAAATATTCATTCAAATTCAAATAAAAAGTGCAGTTACAAACAACAGATGTACAGTTTGAATGGGTGCCTTTGTTAAAATCACGTTTAAGTGGGCATAAAACATTTAAAAATTCAAAATTCCATACTAACAAAACATTTATTCCAAAGGGCTTGAACATGTTTTTTAGGGGTGTTTGAATTTTTACGTTTTTAACATGTACGTCGATGGAAACAAATGACATGATACTAAGTATACCATACAATTACCAAACAATTTCCAAACAAAACTGCTTTCATTTTCTCCAAGTTCAATGTGAGGTCCATTTTGAGAGGTGTTAAACTGCGGGGGAAAGTGCTACAATTGTTGGACAATTACATTTTTTAAATATTAAAAATACTTGACTCGTGTTATTACAATTAAAATATGGCAAGGTCTTCCATAGGACCGGGGTGGGTGCCACTAATTAAACACACAATGCTAAAATTTGCAATAGTTGGTTACATCAAGTGCGACCGACTGTGCCACCAACGTTGGCGAACGTCAGCACAGTCTCAATTTTTTTTCAGAATGGCAGACACACAAAAAACATAATAACCCATTGGGATGGGGACGAAATTTTCTACCTTCCAAGTTTCAATTAGTTCATAAATATTGGCAACATTTCACTTCCAGTCACAATTAAGTATTTTATTTTCGAGGATTTCAAAGGTTTCTATCCAAAACGGTCACACATTGATAATTATCGCTCTGCACTGAAAACTGCAGATACCTAGACTGTCCCATACAAGTCCATCTCCACAAAATCCATGATGGAAATTCAGTCTTGCTCAGTTTTGTTAAAAATCAAGATAAAATTCCTGCTTCAAAAGGTAAAATTTGAATCAATTAATTCATTCTGTCAAAAAGGACGATATTTGGTATATAAATCTCTTACGTTTCATGATCATTCATGGGTCAATTTTAAGATTAAGTTTCAAATGTTTGATTGTGAGAAATCTAACGGGTATTCTAACATAGCCTGTGCATGAAATAAACTGCCAAGTATAAAAAAGCAAGTATAGTTCGATATCAATAAAAGGATTTTCCACTACATGATTATCAGCTTACTTCGATGTTATGTTATAAAAACTTGGGAACAAGTAAAGTGGTATTATAAAATAAGGTGCGCAATCGATATGACAATAGCTAATGTGACAGTCGTAATAAAATATAATATTCAATTCAAAGCTTTGGAGTCAAGGCAATTCATAACTTATCATCGATGTGTATCATTAATCACAATTCAAACACAACATTGTTTCATTAATAAACATTTTACGGTAATAAATAAGCTGGTATTTATATGTATACATGCATAACACGAACATTGTGCTTTGTTTTTCTATTTTTCAATTAGGGTTTTTTTAAACGACCAACAAGGTTTATTCCATGTACGTCAGTACGTCCGATCCTAACAGAGAGCTCTATAACGTATTCCGACGCTTCTTCCCAATTTGCATGGGTTATTTTGATCACAAAATACGCACACACATACACACCAACAGATAGACCGACAAACACGCAAAGCAGCTTCACAACTTTATCTTTGGTGTCGTTAACGCATTGTCAAAAATCGTCACAATTATACCCAAGACTGACGTGTATGTACATGAACAAAGTATGCAGTTTAATTATCAAAGTTCTGTGTTGTCCTGTCCTTTGGTACATATTTGATTCACATATCTTTTGGTTCCACCAATCCAGAACACGACCGAAATAAAACAGGAACCCTGAAATTTGCAGAAAACCAGTCCCCGTGCATTGGAAATAACACTGACTGTGCACCAATTGGCCTCACTGCGTTTTTTACCTGGTGCAGTACGATCAAACACAACACCATTAAAAGTCACACTGAAACAAAGTCACAAGCAAGTACAGGACAGCAAGAGATTTAAAATATATAAACAGGGGGGGGGAGGAATTATTTTTGCTGTTTCTTTTTAAATACCACAGTACGGGTTTCGGCATGAACTTGCAATACACTCAGGAACTACATAAATGACATGAAGTACATGTAACCAAAAAATAAATACAAAGTACTACAACCCACAATCTTTTCCCACAAGCAAAAAGGAAACTTCCATGGTATTTCGAAGGAGCTCCCACAAAACGTCCACTTGTGTGTACTTCAACGACAGTTCCATACAATTTCCAAGAAATTTCCACCGTGGAAAAATACCCGACAGTTCCAAACAGGCAACTTTCGTGAGGGTTTCCAGATCAAGTAGGCAACTTCCATGACAATTAATGGATCGAATCGGAAATTTTCCTGAATGTTCCCTGACCAAATCTTCCATGACTTCCGGAAGTGCTCCAGAGTCGGATCAAAAGATCATCCATGAATTCAAATTCCTATAAAGTTTTAACCAATAAAAGTGGCTTTTAGAATGTTGATTCATCAGACTTGGAAAGTTTGGTGTAACACAGCTCGTTATTCCTACGTTTCCATAACATTTCAGTAAATTTTCTAGGACCGCACACGAAACGTCCAGGATTTTTCGCAATCATTCCACTTAATACATCTCCAACTCCTCCAACGGTCTTTGGTTTTTGAGCAATCTCAATGCCATCAGATCTCCTTGTGCTTGCATAATGAAAGTCAACTCCTTATTTTACATCGTTGTTTTTTCTTTCCTCAGGGGATTTCACGTTTCTGTGGTGGCAGGAAACCTCATGCAGCAACTTTTGTTTATAACACCCGGAACCCTTTTAGAACCAGTAATTTCAACACACCCACAACGACAAATGAAATGTGCGTCCAACACACGACTTTTACAAATCACAACGAATGTAGCTAAGATTTTGAAAATACGAACACCAAATAAAATGTAGCACCCAGTTCAGTTCTTTTCTCAAATAGTCATGGACTTTACCCGCAACACAAACAAAAAAGGATCTGACTTTACCAAAGCTCTAAGTATGGTGACGCTTATGATTGAACGAGTGCCTTTTTTTCTAAGCATTCACACACTGACAAGGTAGAGTGCAAACGTGCAAAATACTGTAATTACCAGAACCAATTTCCCTCAGCTGCCAACAATTTCAGAACAAAATCCTCACGTCATCTTTTCAAATGAACATTTTCCCCATTGGAGGCTAAAAGAAATTTAACTTCTATTTTTCCTAATTTTCTACTCTAAAGGGACTGATCCTGATATGTTCACAAGCGACTCTGACGTTGTATATGATTTGAGCAATTCCACTAAAAAAGCATCCTTAGTATGGTTCTTATATATGCACACTTATGGAATTACCCCCTTTTGTGTTTGCCCTACATATATAACAACATCACACTGTGTTTACTGCACTGCATTCTGGCAGTCATTCAAGTGGGAACGTGGAAACGTTTTTTTGATGTAAGGTCAAATTAAATCACCCATATTGTTTTGCTCCAACAATGAAATTTAATGCCAGAAATGGCAGCCAGTTCCAGCCTCCTTCTAGTTCCTTACTTCTAAAGGAAACCGTAATTTTTGTCCCGTGGAAGACACTTACACTTCAGTTCACATAAACTTTAATGTAACAATGTGACCTTAAAACGAATAACAAGTTCCCACACTGCATGCAAGTCTGCAAGAGGCACATCCCTTGTATGAGGCATAAAGCTGTAGGTCCCATGGATCATTGCCCATTACGGAACTCCAGAAAAATTACTGTGGAAAAGTACTGCACGCTTACACAAGTTTTTCTAGTAAAATAGTTCACCCAAGATTGAAATCTTAAGACAAAATATCGGAGTCAGAACTCAATAACAAGTGGATCTTGTTGGGAAATGTTGGTTCAGATACATTTCAATGAAGTTTCAGGGAATTTGACTGAAGAATTAAAACTCGGGCCAATGCCAAGGAGCTATTTATGCATGCAGCAACCAGTCTAACACTTCTTTAGTCCAACATGACTAGAATAAACAAGATTTGAAATTTTGCATGCTGGTAGGGTATAGTAGTGAGGTTTGCGGTGACACCATGTGGAATAATCTCTTCTAAGAAGTGTGGTTCTGAAAAGAACCGGGTGGTTTTAAAACTCGAAGTTCCGATCAGTAAGCTCTGATCTTAAATACCAGCATCCGGGGTGCGTCAAGTGTCCGGGTAAGCGGGTGGGACTTGACTACAGGCTACTTCAGGAGAGGGAGAGAGAGAGGAGACGATCAGAGCATACTGATCGGAATGTCACGTTTCACAACCAACTGGTTCTTTTCAGAACCACACTTCTTTTCAAAAGAGATTACTCTACATGGTGTTACCGCAAACCACACTAGTATGACAAGAATAGTAAAATATGACATCTGGTACCCAGTCTCTGTTGCAAAACATTTTATCCACATTCATGCCACCAGACTACCGAACGGTCTGAATTTCCTAAAGTTGGACATACACGTATATGTATATACCAGTTGACTTGCTTCCAAATTCAAATCATGTGACTTCACTGACTGGTGCCAATCGTTGGAGCAAACCTTCCCTGGCCCTTTGAAGTTGAATGTTGGTTTGTGGTATAAATAAGACCTTATCTTTGCCTTGTGCATATTGCGCAGAATTCTGTTTGTGTAGCTGTAGCATTTTGCATGTTACTCTGCACTTGGGTCCCAGTGTGGAGTAAAATAGCATATAGCTTCCTTGGTCATCATTTTGCACAATCCTTGCTGCGCAAATCTCTTCACCCATTATTCTACTGTCTAAACATACATACATGTACTTGAACATACATTATGTAAACCACATTTGAAATGCCCGAAAAAAAATTGAAAAAAAAAAAAATCCTCCAATTGGTATTATGTGACAGCAATTAGAAATTCAAATTCATTGTGCCCACAAGGGAAAAAATTAGCAAAATAAAAGAAGTCAGCATTCATATGATAAACAAAAATGTTCAGTGAAAAACAAATTGCAAAATTTTGAAAAACATACTTTTTTCCTGAAAATATATATCTATGTCATCAGACCATGATTTTTCATGAAGCACACATGTGAATAAGCATTAATCTGTACAGTAAACGGCTAAAAAAGTAGACACTGTTCGTTCTCTTGCCCTCCGCACCTATCAGACTTCAGTGAGAACAAGAGAAATTAATTACTCGTTGCCTTTCGAAGAAAACATTTTACAGTGAAGGGGTAAACAAATAACTGCGAATAGTTCACAAAGTTCAGCTTCACAGCAAAGCCTTTTACAAATGTATAAAATTCATTGATATGTGAAGCACTGTTCAGATTATTGTTGCTGTCAACAATGTATAATTTTGACACGCAAGCAGCAATGTATTCGAGTCCCTGCAAGTTCATCACAAGTCTTTCGTCTCAAGTCAAGTCACTAGCTATTCAAATAAACTGTCACAAAAGGATAGGACTTGTGGTGGTCTCGATTACATCACTACAGGCAAGTATCCACAAAGTACACAAGAAGCAACATTAAGTTCCCAGCTGCATTATTAAACGTGTTTATGTTGACCATAAGCAACAAATTTCAAAGCTAGACAGTATCACTGAAAAATCAACCAATCAGTTTTTTTGCAAGCTGGCCAATCATTGAAACATATTAACTTAATCCAGGTATCCAACACATTTACTGATATCATAGCCAAAGCGCACAAAAAGTACATGGCGCTTTGTGACCCCTCATAAGAGCTCCGTAAACAGTACATCCATGTATGAATATGTACCACATACGGCACCGACTCACGCGCATATGGTGAAGGACACATGATTGATTTTTATATATGAATGTACACACACCTGTAGTGTCTTCATGTGAGTGCTGTTCATGTGTGTACCGCGGCATTGCATTCAAACTCTCTCTCTCCTTGTAACCTCTTCAGGGGGTACTTGTGCACGATGCAACACCCTACGTTGCATGATAAACATGTGCAATATGCGAGAATGCTTACATATACATGTATAGCCACCTCTGTGGAGAAGATTCCATTGGCAATCCACTCCAAATTTTAGTTCTGGACAATATATCACCAGTTAACTACATTTGTGAATTGTTGCTATGACGCGACAACAAGAGTTGCAATCCCTCTCAAAAAACCTGACACTTGACAACATACAATTTTGAATTTGTCTGAATGGAATGTGAGGGGTGCTGGAAATGCCAATTACTGGGAGTAGATTCTGTTGAATTTTAGTTTAGAATGGATTCTATTTGATTCCTGCCTGGAGTCGCACAAGCCCAATAGTGGATAGTGAAATACTAATATGTTGAGCAACAAGGCCATTGTATTTACTGACTGGTCAATAGGACAGCTGTGCCTTCTTTGAAGCTTGAAGACCATCCACTTAGTCATGCACACCATGAGGCGTAGTTTACTAGTTGATAATAATCAGTTCACTGGTTTGTGGATGTTGTTGACCCTGGTACATTACCTGAGCATACCCACTAACATGCTAGCACCATGGCGCTTATTAGTGGATCCCTCTGTCTGACGTCTCTCCTCTTTGTTTCACCATCCCATCAGAAGTTGACCGTCCTACATCCACGACGATGACGACAAAACTATAATTCTTGACAACTATTATTCTTGAAACAGTTAAACACACAGTAGTTTCGCAGGGTGATTTTGGAAAATATTTGCCATCATAGGGGACAAAGTGTCTAGAAGCAATCGGGTTCCTTAACAAGTTATACTTAATCAGCCATTTTGCTCTTTTTTGGAGGTACCAGTTACTTGCCAGTATTGTCCCATCAGCAGGGCAGCCATCAGTGTCTGCTACAAATTCATTGTTGCCAGAATGTCTTGGCAGAGTTCTTTGTACTGCAAAGCATCCCCGGCTAACTGCCGCAGTTTCAGCCCATTCAGTGCCAATCCAGGGACACGGCAGACTTCCATCTCCATCCGCACGCCATTCCGGTGCAGCTGAAAGAGGTTCTCAATGTTCTCATAGATCAGGGCTGGCTGCTTACAATCAAGAGTCCTCCTGATCTCAGCGACTATCTCCCCAAGTCCCTTGCAGGTGGTCATGCAGAAGGACTTTGCATGTTTGATTGGGGATGGCTCAGCAGCGTGCATGTCTGACTCACTCAGTGTCATGCTACAACTAAGGTTCATTCCCTGTGCTATCAGCGGTGGGATGTGTTGCTGCTGGCCAGACACATTATCTGTTTTCCTGATCCCACTGCTGCCACCATCAACACTGTTATTGTTGGTGGTGTTGAAGAACTGACTCAAGTCACCTGAGGGGATACGGATTGTTCTACGTAGTAGCTGTGTAGGGACCTGGGCATCTACGCCAGGCATGGTTGTGTGTCGGTGGTGGTTGTGACTTTGCCTTGTCTGGCCATCACTCAGCCCAAACGCTAGAAATCCTGCACAGGAATTACATTTAGAAATCCTATTTACAAATATGTGACTGGATTTCACGAAATTAGTCAAAAGGAAAATTTTGGCTATTAGTTTTTCACAAGCAGGAGGAAACACATGCTCTTAGTTTTATTCATCACTAAATTTGACAGTCACCAGAAGTATTGCCTGACATTTGGCTGGAAGCCTGCATTAGCTAAGCGTAATAGCAAAGTTCTGTGCTTAGAAGCCCCATGACATTAGGCCCTTGGTCCGATGTCATGGAACTGTTTACAAGAAATAATTCTAAACATGTGTATGTGTTAAGCATAAATCACAAGAACCAGTACACACTGAATGAGGTTTAGGCTTGTTTTTGCTTATCAACTATTTTTCTGTGTGGAATAAATTTGTTGACCATGCTCAGGAGTAAAGGTACGCATACCTTGTGCTGCTTCTTCACCTTGTGATGGCCCTTGCATCGTGTTGGACTCCTCCATTGCCTGCACTAAGTCTGTATCATCAATCCGCTGTTGCTGGTTAATCCCCTGCAAATAGTGGAGCGTTCCAGGTGACATCAAATTGGGCAGCGGGTAGTGCTGACTGGGCGGTGCTGCTTGCATCACTGGTTGCTGGCTGGAGATGTTGAACTGGACACCCCCGTTCAGCCCAGGGAGTGGTAGATTCCTGGATTCCTGTTGTTGATTGGACGGGAGCTGGCTAGTGAGAAATGTCACCCCACTGGGTTCAGTGATCATCTGTGAGTGCTGCTGCTGTTGCTGCTGTTGTTGTTGCTGCTGCTGCTGTTGAAAAAGTTGGTTGGACTGTTGTGCTAATGTCACACCACCCTGCATTCCTTGCTGCCTGCTCATATCATGATTCATTTGTTCGAATGTCACATGCCGTGATGCCTGCTGTTGGTGCTGGTGCTGTTGTTGTTGCTGCATGAGATTCATCTGCTGATTCTGGAGAGCAACTTGCTGTTGTAATGCTTCCTGCTCTTGTAGTGACTGAGCCGCTTGCAGCATCTGCAACTGCTGCTGCTGTTGTTGCTGCTGCTGCTGCTGTTGCTGATAGACCAAACTTGAGGCCAGGCTGCTCGGATTCACCGAAATCTCCCCCTGTGAGGAGCGGCCTCCCTGGTTTTGGAATAGCACCGGTAGTATATTCTCCAGTGAATCATTGCTCTGACCCCCAATGTTCACTATGTCTAGCATCTCGCCTCCCGCCGAAGTCACAATGACTGGCGGAGAGGGAGAGAAGCCTGGCCTGACCCCACCAAACCAATTATCCCCAGAATGGTTGTGTGGACTGCCCCGCTGCGAAGACATGCTGCTACCCCCTACAGCCCCTTGACTTAAAGGACTGCTCCCTTGTGAGGGGCTTCCCACATTCACCGGCCGGTTGTCAGGCTGGGCATCCAGCGTGGGGCTCATGTCAATGGGTAACGGGTGGGTTGGGTAAGCGGTGGGATCAATGGACGGTTCAATTACCTCCTCAGGATGAACAGGGAGGCTGATGGAGGTAGGGGGGCTCGCTCGGCTATTAGGACTGTGAAGCTTTTTGAGCATTGGTGGGCTGTCGCAGGGTCTCTGTAGGTGTAATCTGTACAGAGTGTAGAAACAGAAAACAAAACAAAAAGGAACAAACATAAAACGTACCTCACTTTAAGAAATCATATGAGCTTTTCTTTCAACATCTACCAATGCTATGTGCTTAATATTATTTTGAAATGCTATCACATGTGAAGTGCAAAGTACTTAATTTTGGAAGGGACTATTGATTCTAAGGTAAAACACTGATTGAGATTAAAAAAAAACCCGTTGATTTATTTGATCATCCTTTGAAGCAAAGACAGTACCTCTGTAGGTGTTGTTGCAAGGCTTGTGTCTGGACGTCCGTTGCGGGTTCTGCTCTCACTGTTGGTATCATTGGGGGTGTGCCACTGCCGATACCACCCTGGGCTAACTGGAACTGCAAATCCCACAGATAAACAAAACAAAGATCTTTAAATCAATGTCAGCTTTACTCAAGAGAAAATATGACATATGACCCATATGACATGAGAGTGTGTCAGAGTGCATGATTGGAAAATGAAATGAGTAGCAATACATGTAAACTGTGTAAGAATGCCAACACCTTTTCTATGGACCATTTGTACCAACAAAAGAGAGTGCTATCCATGGAATGGATGCTCAGGTACAATATACATGTATGTTATGAATCAACCCCATTTTAACCAATAGTCCTCAATCGAACTTGCCCACTGGTTCATGCACTCGGTTTATCATTTATACAATCTACATATACAAAGTATATATATGGTGGGTAGACTTGTTCCCTGTCTCCCCATAATCAATCTGAATTAATTACAGTGGTAAGCATGGGTACTACTCTCTCAACACCTACAGATATAAAATGCATATACATGTACTACGAACCTATGGAAACATATTGTACACTTAAAACAGATCTTTTTCCAACCTACTGTCAGCTGCCACAATGGAATGTTTGGGATTGAGTCGTAAGCCCCGCCTACTTTGCATGTTAATTGGCAACAAAATGAACATCTTTTTAATGTTGAACTACATGTTCAAGCCATGTGCGTCATGTGTATCTGCAGACATTTTGGATATGCAGTCATGGCTGTGCTTGGTATAACTTTATGGGACAGGGCTTACCAGATTGGGGCGGGGCTTTACAGATTGGGGCCTGGCTTAACAGATTGGGGTGAGGCTTAAAGGATCGGGGTGGGGCTTAATGGTTTGGGGCAAACTGACAGGGGTGTTGTTTTACCAAGTAAGTGGGGTAAACTTACAGTTTGTTTCTCCACATGAACTGTTCATCCATTTACATTTCGTAATACATGTGCCCATATCAGGTTATGCAAGATTTTGCCAAATACAAAGAGCGACACTTTAACACCTGTTTGGACTGCCTTTCCAGAGTCACGCCGAACCAAATTATTCCCAAGATTTCAATTAAGTTTGACATTTGAAACTGTGAGGAGCGACTGCACACAAGTTATTGAAAGATTTAAGGTTGCAGTCATTTGCAAACACTCCAAGGACTAGTCAATGGAAAATTAAAAACAAAGTTTGCCACTCCGAACCCATTGTCTATTTTGACTTGTGTTGCTTAAAATACTTATTAGTTCCGCGTGACGCGGGAACAACAGTCAGACACAGGTGTAAACCTACTTCCAATGCTTGTATTCTCTTACTCCCACTCATGAATATTCACCATCTTACAACCTTTCCCAATTGGTCAAATTTTGACACATGGTGTGATGGATAAACTCTATAAACTCAATGGTGTTTTCAAAACCTCGGCTCTGTCTCCAGCTTTGGCTGCATCTCCAGCATCAGATCATTTCAAAGCTTTTCATGTTCACACCAAACAGGAACACTGAAGCAGTCGCTTTATATATTACTCTTAAATAGCTCTGAGGCAGTTTACCATACCTACTGGTCACGCAATTGTCTCGTGGGTGGTCTTAAACCGCTATTTATAAAGCCGGTCAGCGCTGTTCGTGTTAACGACTGATCTACAACAGTGAGCAAGACCCTGCGCTCCGCTCCACATTTGCGCAGTACGTATTCCCCATGCGCCAGCTGCCACCAGGTGCTTAAGAAGGAGTTATCCAACAAACAACACGCACACAAAGGAACTCATCCTGATCTTGGAATAAAATGGCAAAATGAAATCGTTGGCAGTTTTTGTCAACTTTTGAAAATTGTATGGCTTTTTGATTGAAAAGGTATGTTGAAATCTCTTGATGCCATAGCTGGTGGTGAAGCCGAGGTTTAAAAAAAAAAAATACCATGTAGGGACTACATTGAAGTACAGTACAGAGAAAGTGAGGGAACATCTCAAAAGTCGGAACGTTCCTTTCAGGAACACTGTGCGTTCCCATTCCCAACTGGAACATGCCGTTCCAGAGTAAGCGTGCATGCGCATAGGCAAACGTTCCCACACGGGATCACCTGGCATTCCCAGGATGTTCTCAAGGAAACAACGCATGTTCCCTATTGGAACAGCCAAGGTTCCCGTAGGAATGTTCCAAGCATTCCGACTTTTGAAACGTTCCCTAAGGCCAAAAAAAAAAGTCTCCGGTTTCTGGTATGCGCGCGCGTCGCTGTAGCCATGCGCGTCGGCAAAATGAAAAAGTTTTTTTTCAATGAAAGATGATGTCTCAAAACCGCCAAACTCACTGGTTTGACTGGAATCCTGCTGCTGCACAATTTTAACATGTTTTTAGATGGAGTTATGGTCGAGAATAAGCTTTATGTGGCCTCTCTGGACTCCCAATCCCATATAGGCCTATTTGTACTAAGTTTAGTCGGGCACCATTTGCAGTCATCACACGGCATTTGAAGCAAAAAAGTCAGGTAAAAAAAAAAAAAAAGCCGCGTCGCCGCACCACTTTTTGGGCAAGCTCCATACCAGAAACCGGAGACTTCTTTTTTTTTGGCCGAAAGAGGCATTCCACATAAATGTGACATTCTCTGTACTTAAACTAAAAATGGTAAATCCAGACCCTTGTTAAGTATTTGTTGATCAATTTTACACTTTTGAATCTTGTCAAAATACTGCAAAAAATACTCATCAGATGCAGCATTTTAACCTACCCCAAAACATTATCATTAGTTTACATATGCAGTGTATAGCAGAGCTTCACTATTACGAACACAGTGTTTGCAAAAGATTCTTCAGAGAATGTTCATTATTGCCAATCAAAATGCATCATTGTTCATTCGATTTTAAGTCACACTGCTGTTCAGCACTGAATTCAGTGATAGGGGTGTTCATTATAGAGGTGTTCTAGAGTACATTCACGTGAACAAGTTTGCGAAAAACAGCCAAATACACAAATGAAAAAACTTGAGAACTTTCAATAACAAAACTCTTTGGTCAAAAGCAAAGCTTCAATCCAACTTATCTCGCCTTTGTCAGCCAATCAAGATGCTTGTTTCATGCCAGAGGAGTGTACTACCTTGCTTTGGCTCTTTTGATTGGTTCTTCCTAGTTCTCCGCACTCGGGGCGATCTACGTACGTTCTCCCGGCACTGATGGTATTTTACGAGCGCCAGCGCTCGCGTTTTGGACCGGGTCAGAATTTGCGATCTGTTGGCCTGGTTTGATGCATATATCATTAACATGAATATGCAAAGGAAGTCTGAATACTTAATGAGATGCAAGCTATGAGCAATCAAAGAAATATGCATACATGTATATTCATATCGACCATGTAACATTTACAGGCTGTGAATATTCAAATTTATCTTCAAGCAAACTTGAATCCTCGATTCCGATTGGTCAATCCATGAGAGCCACCCGTACTACATTATCCCATATACTATGGTCCATACCTCTCCCCACTTATTGCGTTATTCCATGATGCGTAAGCCATTCCCGCTGTACGCACATATAATACCGTAGGTTAACCACTGTAAAGTTTGTGTACAGTGTGCATGTTCCATCTTAACTGCGTGAAGCTTGCTTGAAAATAAATTTGCTATACCACTCACGGTCAGTGTAACAATATTTGCTGTGAATACCAACCCCAATTCCATTATTTCTGAAAATTACTTCACAAGCAAATTAAATATTGTATATTACCAGTACATTGAAAAGTGAGAAAGCGTAAGTAAGGCCAAAAAAAAAAGTGTCCGGTTTCTGGTATGCGCGCGCGTCGCCGTAGCCATGCGCGTCGGCAAACTGAAAAAAAATTTTTTTTCAATGCCAAAGATGATGTCTCAAAACCGCCAAACTCACTGGTTTGACTGGAATCCTGCTGCTGCACAATTTTAACGTGTTTTTAGATTGGGTTATGGTCGAGAATAAGCTTTATGTGGCCTCTCTGGACTCCCATATATTTGCACTAAGTTTAGTCGGGCACCATTTGCGGTCATCAGCCGACATTTGAAGCAAAAAAGTCAGGTAAAAAAAAAAAAAAGCCGTGTCGCCGCACCACTTTTTGGGCAAGCTCCATACCAGAAACCGGAGACTTTTTTTTTTGGCCTAAGACTCATTTTGTAGAATTTGGTTAATACATACATACAAAATGCATATGACATCATAACAATCCTGTAATGTAGAATACAACCCCCCCCCCCCCCCGAAAAAAAAAAAATCATGCAGGTATAAAGCTGTTCAACTTTGTTCAGCACTTCTGACACTTGCCGACACCCATTTCTTGACTGGCATTCCAGAGTCAGTCCAAACCATATAATATGCCCTAGAGTTGAATAAAAATTGACAATTGAAATAAGTAGGCGTGATTACACACACGTCAACAAACAGATTGACTGTTGCTGTCTTTCAGAAGGACCTGGCCTGAGTTGCGCCAATTGAAAATTAATGCATATTGTTCACTTGTCTAAAACCAAAGTCCAATCAGCCCTTTCAATATTTCAACTGCGCATGCACACAATGATATGGGTCACGGGTCATTTAGGATAATCAAACGCTCAGTTATGGCGTATGAACACGCAAGGAGACGGTCGCACGACGCTTGCGAGTTAAAATCGCTTAAAATACTACAACACTCGTAAAGTCACCAAATATGCATTAAATGTCTAAAAAGCTATTTCCCATGCAACCTTTACCTCAACAGATCAAAAATATGAAGTTTATCTCAATACCGTACATCAGGTGACTATGTAAAGCTTATCTCGATATGCAAATGACAATCGTTAATATGCACATTAATGTCAGTGTTCCCGCAGCTTTTCCCTGTCTGCCAAGTATGCAATTGCTTTACACGTGCTTGCGATTTTCACAGCGTGTTTGAAATCGCTAGCACATGTCGGTCCTTTTGCACACAACAGGGGCAGATTTCAATCACCTACATGTACTTTACATAAAATTTGAATATTATGCAAATGAAGCAGAGGGGCAGAGAGAGTTGGAAGCAGGATGACCCGTGAGCATGATGATGTGACGATGGTGGTACATGGGTTCTCAAAAGG